GAAACAGCATCCAGTGGCTGGGGTCTGAAACCAGGGGAGAAAGATGCACATGTTTAACAGCAGTGTAATTGTTTCAGTGCAGTTACCAAGAGGTAATTCTTAATGTTTTTAATGAACTAGGGTATGTGACAGCTAGAAATAATGGACGTGATGTAGATGAAATTGTGATCTCTTCATTACAGAATGTTAAACTGCTTTATCAAGGTTAGACCTTCATGCCCTCATCTATGAACCAGAGTGTGTTTTGAGCCTGGAAAACTGAGAACATTTGGAAAAATCAGTGTCAATCTTGTGCTTGCAGATATTTATTAGTGATAAAGTAATCAAAGCTAAGTGATTTTTGTTTTGGTTTTAACCAAGTAGAATTAATTATTTTCTTTCTTTGTGGAATTCATTTAAAATGTTGAGGGTTTTTTTTTTGTTAATGGAAATATCAGTTGGTGATGGATCTCATGGAATCGTACCACACTGGATTTTCTTTATTAAGTGTTTTAGTCACTGTGGTTGTTACAGCTGAAATGAATGTGTTAATTTGTCTTTTGTTTCTTAATTTTGCATTTTATCCTCTAGCTGCTGAAGAAACATTAGTAAATGTAGAGAACTTGAAAGCTGTGACCATAGAAATATTTAACTTTTTCGTTTTTTGCTTTCAAAATTATTTTGAGTTTATCCTGAACTTCATTTTTTTTTTTTCATTTTTTTTTTATTGGTTTGGTTAAAAGGTTTGTCCAGAGGGGTCGCATTTATCCGGTTTGACAAAAGGTCAGAAGCAGAAGAGGCAATTACAAATTTCAATGGTCACAAACCCCCAGGTTCCTCCGAACCCATTACAGTGAAGTTTGCAGCCAATCCTAACCAGAACAAAAATGTGGCACTGTTGTCGCAGCTGTGTCATTCACCAGCTAGACGGTTTGGAGGGCCAGTGCATCACCAGGCGCAAAGATTCAGGTAGGTTAGGAAGAATAATGCATTTAAGGCTGTACCGCTATCCCCGTGTCCGTCTGGGAAACTGTACTCTTGCAGCTGTGCAGTAATGTCTTCATTGCAGCATGTGTGAATGAATACATAGTGCAGTGTTATGTAAATAATCTGTTGAATTAAAATATGATTGAAGTAAAATTTTACTTGTAAAATTTATATGTAAGTGAATTACATAGAAGTACGTACACTACGGTGTCTGTTTCCACCACTGAGTGTAGTGAGGTGATAGGAAGTAGCAGATTCCAGCTGGGTGCTGGTAGATGCCTGTCTCAACAGATCCCCATTCTGGACTCCATATATCTGAATACAGATATAATTTGGCAACTTTAATTAAAGCTCTGAACTATTGGTTCCAGCAGGGAGGTGTTGTAGTAAAATAGGGAAACCTTATTTCTGATTGAGATTCTGTGTGATTTCTGCCTACATCTTCAGCTGTGCAATTTCTGTCTTTCTTTGGGTTCTTATAAATTCAGTAAGATTATTGAGCAGTTGCAGCATGTTGTCTGCTCCCAGAGCTGTGGAAGATACTGTGTATTTTGCCTACAAGAATTGCCTTAGTTGCTCCGAATACGAGTTGCTTGACTTTGAATTGCCTTAGTCACTTGAAGGAGGGTGTTGATAATTGGACTGTGCTCTGGATAATGCATGATATTCTTATATAATATATGTAATATGCATATATTATTATATTATATCTTGCAGATAAGTAATTTGCTTTGTTATGACATGCGTTCATTGGAGTTTGAGAGTAGTGTTTCCCTGTTGGGAATTTACTTGTTTGGTTTGTTTCTTCTCTGAGGTATCCAATTAGCTCAGTAAAATTAGTCTAAAAACTGAAATAGCTTTTTGCAGTGCAGCTGTTCCAGTATTGCTGTGACCTTCCATAGGGCTTGAGTTCAGTGTTGTGAGAACAGCTGGGCGTAGTGTCTCCAATGCGAAACAGTGGTTTTACACTAGGGGTGATTGAAGGGGTTGCTCAAAGAGACTGGAGTGTCCAGCCTTGGAGATGCTCAAAACTGGACTGGAATGGGCCCGAGCAAGCAGCTGTGGGTGCCCTGCGTGGAGCAGGGGGTTACGGGAGGATTTCCAGAGGTCCCCGCCAACCTCTGTCGTTCTGCAGTTCTCCTCACCTGTAGCCCAGGCAAGTTAATGCAGGCAGCTCCTCAAACAAGATTTCATTATCCTGAAGCACTCATCCAGGTCTCTGTGCCCAAGCCTCAGCCACTCCAAGGAATGAAATTCTTCATTGTTGGATGAACTATTGAAAAACTGACTTTTGTGTCAGCCAGGGCTTCAGTGCGTCCTGGTCCTAGTCAAAACTTGACGCTTGTGTCTTATGTTTTCAATCTTAATGTAATTGGGCATTTTCATCATCATTCTTCCCCTTAAAATTTCAAACAGAATGAAAATGCATCTGAATAAGGTATACAAATAATATTCACATCCTTAATTAAGATACCAAATAACTTTCATTGTAATAACTTTAATTCTATTGTGTAATGATAACTCAGTAATAGTAAAAATTATTAATGTATTTATGTTAATAGTTGCAGGTGAAACTGAATTTTAATGACCAGTTTGTTAATTGGTCTTTTATTATACCATTAAGAGCAGCATTAATGTTATTTACATGCATTTTCTATGTAGTTTTCACAAGTGGGGATATGGAAAAAGAAAGTGTTCTGTCTTTCTGTTCCTTTCTTGTTTCTGTGGTAACTGCATCCACTCAAATCAAGTTGACTGTGCCCAGTGCTCACTTGTCAGCACATTTTGGCCAACTTCTGCTCCTAGTTCTGGGCTTGCTATGGAGAAAGAGCTGCAGACTCTCACATACTTCAGATTGGCAGAGGTAGTAATAGAGCAGTTCTGGGTTAAGCCGTGCCATTACAGATACACTGTGGGGACAGGATTGACATGAAGACAAAAACTGTTCATCTCTTTGTCTTGTCACAGACTTGTAAGAACTTTAACACTTAGTATAAAACTTCCTTCCCTCAGTCACACGTATGTAAATATATGCACAGCACATGCATCATCCCACAGCCCTTCTTCTTTTTCTGCCCGCCTCTGGTGTTAACTGTAAGTTTTTCTAATGAGTCTTAAAGGATGCTGAGCTTTATAACTTATAATTTTTCATACTGTGGTGAAGCTTAGGAACCTTAGCTTGGACTAAGTCTTGTTTGTTTTGTGTAGTGAACAAAACATGATGAAAGGATAAGCTGCTTCCAAAGAGCTCACAGTCCATATAAATTACGGTTGTGGTCTCTGCTGCGTAGAGGTTGAATACTTAAACTGACATTTTGATTACACTTCATCTCGTTCCATCATATCCCTGTAAATCCAGGATTAAGCCTTTAGTATCTCTAATTTGTAATTATTAATTTCCTACAGATATCACTCGGACCCTTTGTTTAATGTTCGGTTAATCCTTTGTAGTTCCTGTGGTATTTGTGGTTTACATCAGGAGCTGCTCGTAATGCCTTGTCCTGCGGGAGTGCTGGCTGGGCCCGCTGGTTTTGAGACGTGGGCCAGAGCGTGCTCTGTTTCCATCCGAAAGCAGCATGGGATTGTGTTTGGAGGACAGATAAGACATTGGCAGCAAGAGTTTCTTTTCAGATTTGTTTACTTAAACAGAATAGCACATCTTTAGGTGTTGAAATTAACTCTGATGACATTAAGGAGTTTAGCTCCTAAAACTCAAGAAGACTGACCAAAGGCCCTAGAAGTTCTGTGCTTTTACAGGTCACCAGAGCTTTATGCTAGAAGAACATTCTTTCAGATCTCAAAAATATTCCCAGTTCGGCTGGTTTTGTTTTCAGACTTGTTCAGGATTGGAGCCAGTTCCCACTCATTTACTTGGCATATGTCTATTGATAGCAGAGTCCATGAGCTGGGTCCAAAAGGCCTGCAGGGGAATTGTTATTTCTTGATAATTCTTTGATGGAGGAGGAACATGAGAAGACTCTGGAGTGTCTAACCCTCTCACGAACGTTACTGCTCAGACAGCTCCCGTTCATCTATTTTGTTTCACTCCAGTGCAGTAGTTTAAATGTTCAACTTTTAAGCAAATTTGTAATTTGGATGCAAGTTGTCTATGTTGAGGATGCCACGGAAGGAAATATTTCATCAAAGTTCTAGAAGAATGTGATACTGAAATTCCTTATCTGGTATGGGGCTGTTTGATTTAATACCTCGTTATTTCAGGCTTACAGCCTGTATCACTGAATTCTCAACAAGGCTTGTTTTGTACACAGCCGATCGTCACCATCTGTATCAGAGTACAGGGGAAGCTGCTTGTGGGAGAAAGAGTGGACGTGACCCACATCAGCATAGTTGAACTCCTGCTCTTGGTGGAACTACTCAAAAGTAAAAAGATGCCAAGCTCATGTGCGATTGTCCTCTAGTGTGTTAAAATAATCCCAGAATCTATTAAAGGAGGCAGTCTGTCACTTAACAGTAGAGCAAAAGGTCACTCATCTAAACGAGAAGCTTATAAAGTGAAAAAGGTTACAATTAAAAATATACTGTGGTGATACTTAATGTCACAAAATGCTGGAGTTTTGAGGTCAGCATGGCTTAAACCATCCATAGGCAATATCATCTACAGATGCTTAGGGAGGATTGAAAAAACAATGTGGAAGAGACAGTATAAAGATAAATGCAACAAAAATGAGGACGCCAGCAGTAAGTATGGTAAGACCGAGGTTGTTCAAATTACAATGTTAATGGAATTTTTAAAACACTTTTTCTGAAACATCTTTGATCTCTCTGGGCTTTAGTGTTCTTTGCCCAAATCGGACAGTCTTTCAAATATCCTTAATAAGTATAACTTCCTAAGAGTCATCTCAAATTTGTGTGATCAAAAACACCTTTTCCTGTAGGACAAGGAGATGTCAGCTGCTCTGTGCCTTCCTGTGCATGGGCTGTGATCTCGAGCTGACTGAGAGATCACAGAATCATTAAGGTTGGAAGAGACCTCTAAGATTACCAAGTCCAACCGTCAACCCAGCGCCACCATGACCACTAAACCATGTCCCAGAGTGCCACATCCACACCATTCTTTTACACCTCCAGGGATGGTTACTCCACCACTGCCCTGGGCAGCCCCTTCCAGTGCTTGACCGCTCTTTCAGTAAGGAAATTTTTGCTAATACCCAATCTAAACCTCCCCTGGTTCAACTTGAGGTCATTTCGCCTTGTCCTGTCACTGGTTACATGGAAGAAGAGACCAGCACCCACCTCTCTACACCCTCACTTTGTGTCCAAAATGCTCAGCTGAATCGCAGTAGGAGCCTGCTCTGCTCATCATGAGTGCTCCCACTATTGCCAAATGTCCTGGGTGATGCTTCCAGGTAGATGCAAATCTAAGTGTAAATTTAGCCTTCCACAGAGGTCTAACCCTATACCATGTTTATTGGCACTTTTGCAGATTTTTTTGATGGTTGCTTTTTAACCAACAAGAAACTTTTGTGAAAAGTTTGTTTTTTCATGTGAATTTGCAAGGTATAACTTCAAGGTATAACTTCACTTTAGAGTCATGTTAGATCTGGGTAAGGAGGGTGTTATTTGAGAGGTGATATTTCCTATGGTTGTTGTACTAAAAGACTTGTCATCTTTTAGGGGTGTTTTTACTCTGTTTGGTTTTCTTTATAAGCCTGTAACATTTCTGTGAGTCGAAGCAGGAAGAGATGAGAATCTGTTTGAAAATTAGTATATCCAAAGAACAGAGGTACTTGCTATTTAAAATTATTTTGCCTGTAATAGGCATTTAGATTTGTTGTCTTTCTATGTTCCCAGCTGCTCTTGTACAAGTGTTTCCAATCCTTGATGTTCTGTTGATTTGGGCTTGTGGGCACAGCCTGAGGCTTTATAGCGAGCAGGTTCAGAGCTACACCGACTGCTGGAACCAACATCATGCAATTTTCTGCTCCCGTGTGCATGAGCAGGAATCCAAGACTGGTGATCTGTTGAGATGAAAACTTTTCAGATATTACTATAAACACATCCTACCAGATCATTACTCAGATGGAAAAAAGCTACAGAGCTGAAGGTGTCTGTCAAAAAAAGTGTATAAAGCATGCAAACACAGGAATATTTTTACAGAAAAGCAAAATAAATATACTTAAACTGCTTTTTCAGTTTTACTTGTCGTACAAGGATTCCCAAACTTGGATTTGCTTGGGGCTGGCCAGCAGCAGTGAGTATGTGCAGCTGAGCCGAGGTGCGCCCGCACTGCGCTTGAGGGACACCAGCGGCAGGCAGCAGCAGCAGCTAGGGTGTGATGGAGGGGAAGGGGCCTGTACCACCAAGCCTGCCCCTGTCCTGGATAGTAGAGGGTCCAATAGCTCAGGCATCCAAGGGAATGAGCTCTTGTAGAGCACTGAAGAGCCTGGGGTGGGGGAGACAGTGACTTGAGTGGCTCTCCTGTATGAGCAGATCAGCCAGAGTGCCACGCTGAACGTGAGCTGACTGCCCTGCGCGTACGTGGGTGCTGCTGCAGCTCTGCTCCCCTTCTGATATACATGCGCTGAGCCCTCCCTTCTGTGTAAAGACAGCAGCAGCTCCTGTCTTTATGCAGGGCAAGAAGTCAGTGAGGAAGTGTTTGGCACTGAATGCAGCATTCCCTGCCCAGACAGCCCCGTTTTCTCCAGGTCAGCAGAGGATCAGGAGCTGCCACTGCCATGTTCTTGGCAGGGAGCGGCACGTGAACTGCTTTTCAGTGGTTTGCACATCACCAGTGGTACACCACAGGTTGGGAACCCCTGCTATAGTATAATTATATTTCTACAACCAGTGACCTCACATTTTAAAATAATACATAAGCACAAGGGATCAAATTGAGTTTTTTACCTTAACTTTCACATTTCCTGACCTTTGAGTGTTTAGCTGTGCAACCATAATATTGCATTAAAATACTTTGCAGCATTGAATTTCTAGGATGGAGACCAGAAGTAGAATTAGAAATGTGGGTTATAGAAGAAAAGAAAATAATACAAAGCAAGACATAAAAAGAAGTGTTTTGCCTTTTGTTATGCATAAATACTGCTGGGGTACTATGCAGAAGGCAGGGTTTAGGAAGAGTGGGTAAGTGACTTACAAAATCCGGTTCAGTATTGTCATATAACTTTTCCTAGTATGACGTTGGTGTAAAATTAATAAGAATAAAACCATACATGCATAATGAAATTGTAAAACTGTGTACTTAAATGTGGTTTGCTATTTTGATGTTTGAAAACTACTGCAGCCAGAATATCTGCATAACTGGTATTTAGGAATAAAACTCTGAGTTTTAAGTTCTGTAGCTAGAAATGCAGGGCATCCCAGTCACTGAGACCTGACCGAGGAAGTGCTCCTGTTTCCTTAGCTACCCCATAGCTGCGAGTACACACGACTGTGGCTTTAGGAGCCTGCTGGTACTGAGAGGGTTTGCCTGCACCTGCTGCCTTATGGTGGAAAAAGGAGTAGGTTTTGTTCTGTTTCACAAAAAAGAAATGTAGATTAAGACACACGATCTCTACTCCTGAAAACAAAACACCCCCACACTTCTCTGCCCCAGCAAAACCCAAAGAAACCCTTTGACATAAAGAGTTCCCAGCGTGCTATTTTAGAGGCAAGCCAAGGAGGATATGGGATGCAGACTCATTGAGCGATGTAAGCGGGAGATGCCTGAGGGTGGCTTGAAGCAAGCTGGGGCCTCTGGGGAGGCGTTGCCTGTTATCCGCACCCGAGCAGTTCCACGCCAATGCCACGGAGCACTCCTGGCAGCCTTAGCCGAGTGTCAGAGATCGATCCAGGTGCCCTGTGAAGGTGATCAAGAAATCTTGCCTTACAACTGTTCTGTTCCCTGGCTATTTCTAAGGATTGTTCCCTATTGATAAAGTAATTGGAATACTTAACTTTTTTTTTCCTGGCAGCTGTCAATTTGATTGTCAATTTGAATGGGGAAACGTTTTCTGGCGGTTTTGATGTCCCATGTAGAAAATATTCATTCTCAGTTGCTTCCCATTCAAGTTAATTTGCTGAATTGAATTGAACTTTTACATGAAATATTGTGCTTTTTATTTGCTAGGTTCTCTCCTATGGGTGTAGATCACATGAGTGGGCTTTCTGGTGTAAATGTTCCAGGAAACGCATCTTCTGGCTGGTGTATCTTCATCTACAACCTTGGTCAAGATGCTGATGAGGGAATCCTCTGGCAGATGTTTGGCCCCTTTGGTGCGGTTACCAATGTGAAAGTTATTCGAGATTTCAACACCAACAAGTGCAAAGGTTTTGGTTTTGTGACCATGACAAACTATGAAGAAGCTGCAATGGCCATAGCAAGTCTTAATGGCTACCGCCTGGGGGACAAAATCTTACAGGTTTCCTTCAAAACCAACAAGTCCCACAAATAACTTGCTCGTGCTTTTTGTATGGAATAGATAATGGAGTGACAGAAGTTGAAACATTTTTGTTAGTGTAAAACTCATTTTGCGCCAATTTTCACAAGTGTTTGTCTTAGTCTAAATGAGAAGTGAAAAAGGTTTTATATTCTGGGATGCAACTGACATGTTCAAATGTTTGAAATCCCACAATGTTAGACCAATTTTAAGTTTCTTTAAGTTATTTCATTTAAAACATGTTAAAAATCCCCTGAAATCTTAAGTAGATTGCATTAACTAGACCCTCTGGATGGTGGTAAAATTGAAGCATGCTTTCACTTATGAGACTAACATTTGTTCCATCGAATGTTGTCTGCAAAAACTGGAATTTTCTGAAAAATGTCAGGCTGAATTAATTAATTTTGTTGTTTTTTATGTTGTTGTTTTTCCTCCCCTTTCCCCTGACCTTATCTACCCCATACCCGGTAGTATGGAAGAAAAGTTGAGAAATACTAATGTTTTAGTTGACAGTAAATTGTTTGATCATTTAATATTCATTACTACGTATATAGTTGAGGATTAGGCTTTTTAAAGTCAAGGTCTTGTAAGTAGTAGCATGCCAGCATAACTTTTAACACCATTGATGAGGTAAGTTGCACACTGAGCAGTGATCAAGCTGTCAAATTCAAAGGTTTTAGAAATCGTACTTTTAAAGCCCACTTTCTAATAGGAATGGACCAAAGAGTTTCGAAGAAACTCCGGGAAGATTTCAGAGTCAAAATGAAACTCCAAAAAGAAAGTGTGAATATATGTTGCTACTTTATCAAACTGAATCTCTTCTGTCCAAATACTTAATGCATGGTGCACTACTTACTGGTTCATTATAATGCAGCAAGATACTTACTCATGTTCAAAGATCATTGTAGTTTGAATTCCTTTGGTAGTTCTATTTTATAAAGAAAAAAACAGTTATAAACATTTGAGCATTGTATTTCTCGCATCCCTTCTAATGAGTGCTAGATTTTTCTATTTTAATAGAATTTTGTTTTGACAACTAGCTTTACTTATTGAACACTCAGCAGAAAAGTACTTACTACTTGCAAGTTAGATATTAACAAAAAAACCCTTTGATTTGTAGATTTAAAGATTAATCCCCCGAGTTTTCTGCAGACTGCCTTGAAACTTTGAGTTGTTCTGTTTCTGTTAATTTTCTTTTGCTTTTTTGTGTTTTTTGTTTGTTTTTACTTTTGCATTTAAGAACATTAAATTTGATTTTGTTTTGCTCAAATTTTGTTTTGTTTTTTATTTTGTTATTTTTTTGCTAAGTATTGCACAAAGTGTCCAGCTTTCAACGAGTGTTGTTTTAAAGAACTGTAGTTCCCCTTTAAGAGTTTTAAATTACTCATTGGACAGATGAGCAGAAGAAAAAGGGTTGTGAAACAAGAGTACTACGATAAACTATCGCCTAGAAACCGTGTGCCGCAGAGCGATGTAACCCCACAGGTGTTCTTCGGTAGGAAACCTGGAAAGGGTTTTACTCGATCAAGTAAAGGCTGTGAGGCTACTGCACACCCCTAGCGGCTTGGCCTGGGCAGCGTTCAGGTCCAGTGTTTATGTGCCAGAAGGTAGCGCAACCACGAACATGGGGTCAGTGGCAGTTTTATTGCAGTGTCTCCTTTTGTTTTGTGTGAACCTCTACCAGTCCCAAAGATTATTTTCAAATTCCAGAGGCCGTCCCATGCTGCCTGCTCGTATCTCTCCATCCCTGGCTGACCTTGCCTTGCGTTGGCAATTTTCTCCTCTTCCTGCACTAGGATCTCCAGCCTCCGCCGGGCTGTGCATCTCTGCATGTTGCTGCTGAAGAGCGGCTGCACGAGCTGCCCGTCGCCGTTAGGTACCTTCAGTGCTGTCTGGGAAATGCTGCTGCTGCTGCTATTTCTGGAATTGCCTGTGGCACACTTCAAGCCTTGGCACAGCGAGCAGCTTCCCACTGTTTCTGAGCTTGTGGGCAGTGAAAGTCAGTGGTGTTTTTGCCATTAATACGTTTAGCCTTGCCTTTCCTGCCAGTCCTGTTCACTCTGTCTTTTGAGAAGCAGTTTTGATGATCTGTAAGAGGGTGGCTGTGACAGAGCAACCAACCAACTCCCACCCCCCAGAGTGTGCTCTCCAGCTGTCTATTCCAGATGTTTGCAGTAATTTATCATCGTTCATGTGTCATCTCAACAAATACATCTTTTCTGTGTACAAAGAGAGATACAGAAGCGTCTGGGCGATTTCTCCCAAGTTAAAACTGTAGTGGAGAGAGGTCTTCTTACTGTGTCCCGTCACCTTTTACTCTCACGCTATTCTGTTCCACAGGAGTGGGTCTGCAGCCGTTTCCAATTTCCTGTCATTCGCCCTTGGTTTATTTCATAGAAGATTGATTTAAAACTAAATGGGAGTTACTGTTCTATCACAGCATTGAGATGTGGGTTCCAGCGAATGACGCCCTAAACACGACTTTGCGTCACTAACAGTTTCAAGCATGCTGGCCATTGCAGCCCTACCCGCGGCACGCTGCTGGGAGCTCACCAGCTGCCACTTCTTGGAAAAACTCCTTGAAGGCTTTTCAGCATCACTGTCAGATATCTGACTGCTTCCCTATTTTTCCATCTCTCATTCTTTGCTAAATAAGAGGAAATGCAGGATATTGTTTCAGTAGTGGTATGAAAACATCTCTTTAGGAAATATCTGATCCCAGCTTCCTTTGATGATTGCTCTGGAAATAGTTACCAGTCAGTTTATGTGAGGAAAGCACTGCTGCTTGAGTCAGGAAAAAAAAGTCCTGCTAAAGTATCAAGGCCTGATTCCAGAAGAAGTGTGTGGTCTGCACCATTCCAACAGTCAGTAAATACTTGGTATAAATAGCTGAAGTCAAGAAAAAATTGTGTACGTATTGATGCTTTTGGTCCTAAGCAATAACCCATGCATCCTACTAGTAAAGACCAAAAGGAAACTTCTGGAAGTGGAAACTAAATTATAACCAGTAATTTGCTGGCAGTTTTTCTACCCAAAATGTAGGAGCATCTGATTTCCTTACCACGTCATCCAGCTTACCCTCCTCTGAAGCTCTCCCTTGAACGTAGTTGTTTCAGGCAAGGTTTTGGCCTTTGAATGCTCAGGGAGTTGAGAAAAACTGGATACGTTCTGCTTTTTCATCTTTAATTTGAGCAAATAGAGATGTTTCTTTCAGGTGACAGTTCTGCCTCAGTGCTTACAAGATCCTGGTAAAACCAAAGGCCTGTCTCAAACCAGAGGTCTCTTACGTTTCTCATGAGATGCAAGGGGAATGTTTTGGGGTCCTCTCAAATAGATTGGAAGCCTCACAGGACACCCCCAGGTACCTGCTTCTGAAGGGTCAGGCATGGTTCCTGATGAGAACATAGAGTTCTGGCTATGCTGCTGTTGCAGCCTCTTGTGTGTGTATGTTGAAGAGAATTACAGTGTCTCAGGGGACAGGGCATGGGTTTTTGTGCCAGCATTTCTGAAAGAATCCATCTGGCTTTTGTGCATCTGAAATTCAGACAACATCATTTCCTCTTTACACTTGATTAGACAGACAAAATGAGAAGTTTTATCTGCCTATGTTTAAAAAGAAAAGGGGAGGAAAGGCTTTTTCATTGATCTTCTTACGGTCAGGGTAGCTGTCCGCAGAGCTGAAGATCTCCCAGTTGGGAATGCGAACGGCCAGACCAGGGATGCTGTTGTCAGGCTGCAGCTGGGCTCTGTTTGCTTTGTGTCCAAACTTGCTTTCACAAAGTGAGACCTTGTTTGCATGCGACTGCTTAGCACTTCAGCAGAAAGTGGCCTTTGCTTCTGTAGCTTTTTTCCCAGGGTGAGTTTCCCCAGGTTTGAGTTACCCTGGGTTTGGGTTACTCCAGGTTTCGGTTACCCTGGGTTTTCATGACCTGCCCATGACCCGTCTCCTTGAAGGCAGATGCAAATCCATCACTTCTGAGCCTTGGCTTCTGGGGCGAGAAGGCGGCTGACTGCGAGGACAGGAGCTTGCATCAGGACTTGATCAGCCTTCAGGACTTTGAATGTTAAGCCAATTCTCTCTTCCAGGAAGTTTTCCCAGCTGTTGAATGTCTGGTGTTATTTTAATTACTGCTTTGTCACTTTTAGCTTTAGAATCGCTTCATTTTATCTTGGTATTTCTTCTGAAAGGGAGGCTCTGCTGCCCTTATGTGGTATTTATCCTTTTCTCCACTTTTTTCCAGTATTTGTTGTACCTGGCACTCCAAGGAGGCTCTTACCAGGCCAAGGCATGGCTGCTAAACACGCTTCTTGTGGGGCTGCCTCCAAAATTGCACATGAGCAGTCTCCATTCTTTGCAAGACGGTGGAGCTTCACTCTAAAATGAGACAATGCCTAGTTGAGAGCAAAACTGTCCTGATTATGGTTGAAGGCCACCTCCAAACTTCTCTGAAGATGTTCTGGGCTTTAGTTGGGTTGTACAGAATAAATAAAATATAAACTAAAAAAAAAAAAAATCAGGTTTCCTTAGTTATGTTAAAAAAAAAAAAAATTGAGTTTTGTCAAAATTAAATTTCCTTGAAGGCTTTATTCAGACTTGGTCTTTTCCAGTCTGTGGATTTAATACTAAGTTTTTACTCCTGCTCAGTAACGTACATTTGCTTCCCAGAGTTCTGCTATGAATGGAATTCGCCCCTGCACAGATAGCTAGCCACAAACAAACCTAATCACAGTTTAAACCTTCTGGTAACCATTTGCAAATAGGGAAATGTCACAGTAAATACAGAAAAGGAGACTCTAGTGTTGCTGTGTATTTTGTATAAGCTGGCAGAGGCAAGTACAGCTCCTTCACATGAGGAGATGGCAGCATCAGAAGAGCTATAACCATGAGCAGAATCAAAGCAGCTTAGCAGGTTTGGTTCTCTCATGACCCCATTTTAGAGGCTGTCTGTATATTAAAGTGTTGAATTTATTTTGTTCTTCAAGCTGCGTCATCACAAAGTGTGGTTTACATGAGATGCTGTGCTCCACTCCTCTGTGTAGAGGGAGGGGAAGGGAGCCAGTGCAGTTAACATTGCCTCCTGTGCCCATCCCTTCACTTCTGCTCTAGATCTGGGACTGAGAAGGACTTGAGGATCCAGCTTTTAGGGTGGAAGGAGAAGTCGGTGTCCCTGCAGTGGTGTGTGTGTCCATGGAGCTTTACGGGTTACGGGTTTTCAGCACATCTCTATCATGATAGCACAGAAACCACTGAAAGTGCAGAGGTACACAAGCCGCTACAGTAGGGTAGATTTCTCACTGCGGTGAGTACAGTTGGTCAGCTTACGGTCACTCCATTTGTCCAGATGACCAAAGGGTGTCACTAGGGAGGGGACACCTATTTTTGTAGGAGTATTGAACATTGTAGTATTGTTCTTTATGCAGAGCAATTGAAAATCTTTTTTTAAAAAATTGGCATAGCTACATTTATAGAAAGAATGTTCAGCACTTAAAACCAAAATGATGAAATAACTATAAAGGTGATCCACTATTTTGAATGTTAAGTTTTGGAAATGAATAATCCCTAAAGCCCTTAAAACATTCACTATAATTTTGTGTTGCTTTAGTGTTCTGGGCAAGGTCAATAAAGTAGAGATCCTTCAGATATTTCAGAACAGATTTTTTTTTTTACTGTATTCTAAACTGTAATAACTAAAGTTACTTTTTGGATAGTTTATAGTTACGTATGTGCTTTTAAAAAAAACTTGGAGAATGTTCCCACGTTTACTTTTTTAACAAAATAAACAGGTCTTATAATAAACAAAACTGTTTATTCCAAGTGGATCCTCTGATACATCCACCTGCAACATGGTAGGGTTTGTGGGAGGTTTTTTACCATACAGCTTTTTGTGGACTACTGACGGTGATCTCACGGTTCAATCACAACAGTCAAATACAGAGCGATTTGTCCGAATGCTACCTCTCTCATAAGGTTACCGTGTTTTTGACTTCCATGGTGCGGAAATTTGTCTTTTGCAACACTGTTGGTGAAGCACCTTATTGTAACATTTCTACTTCTAGGCTCCTAAGAATAGCTTTAGAGTGAAGGGACCAAATTCACATTTAGCATAAGAGAACACAGCTCCCTTGAGCTCCCTTAGTGGAGCTGCACTTGGTTTTTTTCAAGAACTGAATTTGTCACCCTGGGTACTTAAATCTGTATTTGGAAGCAGAAGAGCCTTTCTGTGCCGTAGGCAAGTTCCTCTGCTGTAGCTCTGCACTTCTCAAT